CAGGGAAGTCCAGCACTGGAGACACCTCGCTATGGCCCAGTCTTGCAATCACAGTTGTCAGCACACAACCCTCAGAGGCATGGTGTCACAGGGACCCAACAGTTCTGTAGCAGTGGCAAGACCTATGCTACACTTTGCTCAAAAAAATTAACCACCTATTAAACAGCTGTTAAATAATAACAGCCTTAGTAACAATTATTTCTGAAGAGTAACAGTAGTTTTAACAAATTACTTCAGACTAACGATCCCCAGAAAGTTTCCTGTTTTGAAATTATTTTACTTTTTCTTTCTTATCCTTTTTACTACATTTTGTTTTCTGTTTCTACCAAATGCTGTCCCATCAACACATATGCCTTCAAAGACACAAGCACACTCTTTCGGATCATTTTGAGAGAGAAAGGAGTTCAGGCTCACAACCACTGGCTCACAGCCCACTGCTAACACCTGCAACACACTCCATCCTGCATAGGCAAGAAAAAAAGACAAATCAGGAAAAAAGTCTCTCTGAGCCCCCAGAAGCACCCACTACACGGGGATCAGCTCCTTGCTCGTCTTTTTTTTCTTTCCCAAGCCAAATGTGATAACCCTTCTCCAGCCCACAGAAGACTGTGTTCAAACATAGTGACACCACTGCCTGTTCCTTCAAGAGAGGCTAAACTTCTCTGTCCACCTCAGCTTATGCAAAGTATATACCAGCCTATCTGTATTTTAATTCTTCATTTTGCATCTCACACTTTCACAAAAACAACTCTGTTATTTATTCTGTTCTAGCAGAAAATGAGGACAGCAAGGTCAAATTTTTACCTGCCTCTCTATTGCATCAGTTGACAGCTCTATGCAACTCTAAAATAATTTTCCCCTCAAACCAGTGTTTTAAAGACTGAGAAGTTACCCAAAGTTTAGCTGCTAACTGAAAAGCAATATATTTTCCCCTGTCTCAGGCATAACTGATAACAGAAAGTGGTATGGGCAACCTACAGGGGCTGCTTGATAGATGGATTTTGCCTGATCATGAGGGTGACCCTAGGGAAATTAAGAGTCTCCGACTTCAGCAAAATGCTTTTGGTTAATGCTTATGCATGAAACAAGCATTAGGAAACCAGCTCTTCCCTGTGACTGATAAAATTCTGTCACAGAATGTTTCTTTGGCTTTGTCACCATGATAGCTGCCTGCTTCACAAGATGGTACTGTGCCTCTCATCACTTGGTATTCACTGCAATGAAGCACCTGACTGATTCCAGCCAGAATCTCTTCAGTCTACAGTTCCACAATTTCACTCAAGTCCAATACAATTCACATTCCCCAGGCCAATATGCTATCAAACAACTGAACATTGGAGCCCTGTGCTACACACAAATCCCCTGGGAAGCAACTCTAGAGCAGGCACCGAAAACATGCTAGCACCCAGCACCAGCAAGTATTCCCAGCCCTGAGATTCCAGTAACACAGTATTCAAATCGTGGCTAAGTCTGACTTCTGTGAAAAACTGTCTCACAGATCTTTGCCAGATTCACCAGATTCTGGTGAGGTCCCTGCACTTACTGAGCTCTGGAGGCATTTTTACAGAAGACATTACTCCTCAGTAGGCAGAACACATCGACTGATGTGTTGTCCACACATGCCGATGCTGCGGGTGCACGTACATGCCCCAGTACCTGAAGCCAGAGAATTTTCCCTTTGTATTATCTCAGGGATACTGGTCCTCGTAAGTCTGAGAGAGTAGACCTATATCCACCCAGTTAGTAACATGAGAATGCCTTCAGTGCTGCCTCCCATCCTATCCCTTCCCCGAGGTGACCTGATCTTTCGCTCTATCAGCCATCAAAACAAAAACCTTCCTCAATTTCCCGGTCCCATTAACACCAGAACCAATTTGACCTTAAATGAAGGGCTGCCTCAGCTTTAGAAGTTTAAGGCTCAGGAGGCAGATCAGCAAGTTTAGGGGGAGAACTCCAAAATCTCCCAAACATAGTGCCTGGAAGAACAGGCTGAGTCATCAAGCAGTGTTCCCTGATGCTTCAAGTCTGGCTGTCTGAGACTGAAGCACATCTGGAAGGAATAGTGCAGTCTTTCCATGGGGGGAACAAAAAAAAAAAAAAAAAAAAAAAAAAAAAAAAGAAAGTCAGATCCCTTCCGAAGATCACTCACTGTGCTCACGTTGCTCATAAAACAGCTTCAGGCCCTTCAGACCCGGTGATCAGAATCAGCACTTGCAGCACTTGCGGAGTTTAAGTACAACAACTGTCCCAGTAAGTATCAGAAATATTGAAATGTTGTACACCCATTTAAAAACATACCTGCTTAACTGTGACATACCCCTTGTTACAGTCTGCTTTTAACTGAACTGGAAAGAAAGAACAAAGTGTAAATACAAAAAGTGTAAATAAAAAGGCCAGAACTCTGCTGAAAACACTGCTGTATTTTAAGATCTGCTACCTTCTGACGCTGATCCCTTTGAATGTACGCAAAGAATACTTGTGCCCCATCCTTTGTTTCCAGGACCACATGTAAAATGGAACCAACCCATACGCTGAGTCACACCCAAGTATTTCACATCATGGATCAGCAAAATTACTTCAGAATAAAGGTGAAATCTATGGCAGTCTTCTACACGTTCTTGCTGTTCTCACCAGCCCTCTCTGACAGCAAGGCATGGAGCAGGACTGTGTCCAGAGGGAAGAAAGGTAAGGCTGGGAAAATGTGAAGGGGAGTGTTTTATAGATCACAGATATTTTTATATATTCTCCCAGCCCATCTATAAAATAACAAGTCGTACTAAAAATCAGATGGTGGAAGACTAGGGAGATGAAGTGCTACTCACAAAGCAAGAGTGCAGGCAGTGGAACATGACTGCAGGCCTGGTGACCCATGTTAAGGTTCAATATCTTAGTTTATGGAGGTGAACTTCCCATGATTTGGTGTCTCCTCTGATCTTTCAGGACCCAGAGATCTCCATAAGTACTTACAAAAAAAGCCTGATGGCTTCAAGAATCAGGCAACACTATGGACCATGCAGAGAAAGGAGACCATAAACCAGTGACTGCAGAAGCAAGCCGAAGGAAAGCCTGCTTAGATTTCAAGGAAAAACTGCGATTTGCCATTTAGACCCTGCTCAAAGCAGGCTTACAATTTAGGCCAAAACATTGGTCCATTAGCGTCACCGTAAATTAGGCAAACGGAACAATGGTGTTTATTGATAAACATGAGTGCTGTACTTGTATCTCACACAGTTCACAAGTTTGGTTGCTGCTGCATGTAGAAAGCGGGATTTGAGCTAAACCTTACCTTGTTGCCTTGAACACTTCTTATCCGTTATCCCAGTCTCTGGGCCACGCCCAATTACCACTGCTTCCAAGTGTGGCAGTTTCATTCGCTGACTGCATTTCTCTTTCCCCACCAGCCAGCACGCACGCATCACTGTGCTATAGAGCAAAACAAACAGTATGTTACTAACACGCAGCTTCCCAATGGGTCACCTTCCTGTGGAATGGGGTCCAGGAATTCTGCTGCCAGTCCATTCATTAGTGGAGTCACTTCTGCTATACTGGGTTCACGTTTCTGAAATTCAAGGCAAAGCACAGCACTAACACTCGCATAATCTAAGAGCAAGTTGCTGTTGAAAGGGCAATCCTATTTGCCTTCCTTCTACATCGCTATACGTCCTCGCATCCACAGATCGGACATAGGAAAAATCATCTGGATCAACAGTTCCGTCCGACAGAAAAGCCTACCCACAAAAAAAGTTATTTGTTTCCCACTGAATCAGAACTGATCTGAGAGATTAACTTACCCACCAAAACAAAGAAAGTGGCAGAAGTCAGGGAGGGCGAGAGAGGGGGACAGCTTCATCCAGCAACGGTCTGCAATGGACCCTCAAGCTGACACCAATTTGACCCTGGTCAGCAAAGATCCCGCAACCTCCCCTCTGCCTGGTGCTGGGCGCTAGGCGTTCCTCCTCCCAGCTCTGTGGCGAGCTTATCCCGGTGGAAACCCGGAAACCTTCCACCCCCAGCGCAACGCCAGCACTGCCACGCACAAAACAAAAACGCGCGACGCGCCGTTCGGCCCCCCAGCCGCACGTCCCGGCCGGCCTGCTGCTCGGGACGGGCCCCCTCCACCGCTCGCTACACACCCCGCCTCGGGGCCCCGATGCCCTGCCCCCGGGGGGGGGGGGTGGGGGGCGGGGGCGGCCGGCACACGGCAATGACCGCCAGCACCGCACAGCCGATGCAGACGCGAGGGAGCCCCCGCGGCGGCCCCAGCCCCGCCGCACCCCGCCTGTCGCCGCCGCACGACGCTGGTTA